GCTCGGCGCGGCGCGGCGCGGCGCGGCTCCTGCGTGCTCCCCCTCCAGATAAATCGTGGGATTACGGTTGCGGTAATCGGGGCCGGATTAACTCCGTGGAAACCGCCTGAAATTTGAACAGCTGCAAATGTTCCCAACCCGGGAGCGGGCCATCCGCCGCCCAGATGCTGTGCCGTGACTGGGAGGGGTTGGGGAGAGGGGAAAAAAAAAAAAAAAAGCATCATCCGGCGCTTTTGGGAAGGGTTTCCCCCCAGCCTCCTCTCCCGGCCAGCCACCTTCTGCGGAGGGGGAGAGACGAGCGCACACCCTGCAGTCCCCCGTGACAAGCGATGGGCGACATCCCCAACCTCGTGAAAATCAGCGTCTCCCTCAAAATCCAGCCCAACGACGGGGCAGTGTATTTCAAGGTGGATGGGCAGCGCTTCGGCCAGAACCGCACCATCAAGCTGCTGACTGGGGCCAAGTACAAGATCGAGGTGGCTCTCCGGCCCGGCACTGTTCAGGCCACGTAAGTGCATCCTTCCCAGCACAGCCCAGGGGTGGATCCCACAGCCCTCCCTTCCCTAGTGCTTTATTTTTAGAGGTCTAATATCTTCTCCTGGCAGGCTGACAGCACAGGGTTTCTGTGATTTCTCCCTCCCTGCCCTCTTGCTTTGGTGGCCCTGTTTCTAGGTCCCCAGCCAGCTGTCCCTGTTCCCCTACCCAGTCAGCATGTGGGGCCAGCACAGGAGACAAGCTGAGTTTGGGAGCTGCCTCTTTTCCTCTCCCTTCCCACCTCTACCCAGAGCTTTTACAGGCCCAGCTCCTTCTCTGTCTCTTTCCCATGCTTTGTTCTGGATCAGGGGGAGGACATGGCCCCTCCAGCCCTGCATTTCGGGCTGTCTCATGCCCAAGCCTCACTGCACCGTAGCAAAGCAGAGAGAGACAATGGGGAGGTTGGCAGCTGGGGGACCAGCTCTGAGCGGAGGGCAGCCCTGGAAAAGTGGTTCAATCAACACATCCCCAGCTACTGGAGCTTAGATCCCCTCACTTTCCTTTCTATTTGTTCCCTGAGTGTCTGCGGAGCCCTGACATATCCAGGAGCCCCAATGAGTCAGCAGCACCTGCACGTTTGCTAATATTCCTGAAGCATCCCCCTGCACAGAGGCTGCTCCGGTCTGCTGGGAAGGGGACCTGCAGGGCTGCTGAAGGCCTACAGCCTGTCTCTTTGCAGGACGATGGGCATCGGGGGCGTGAATGTCCCACTGGAGGAGAAATCAAGGGATGCACAAGTGGTCTCTTACACAGGCATCTACGACACAGAAGGGGTGCCCCACACCAAGAGCGGTGAGAGGCAGCCTATCCAGGTCAACATGCAGGTACGTGGCCCTCCACTCAGTGGAAGCCTGGCATGGGAAGACAAGGGAGGGCAGCAGGGTTTTGACTCCCAGAGACAAAGGTGTGGAGCTCAAGTGTGGCAGGGAAAGCCTGGTCACAGCTGCTGCCTGTTCCCTCCCCCCCAGGCTGCCCTTTTCTTTGCTTTGTGTCAGTGAGGCTGCTGGTCAGAGCATAGCTTGAAAACACAAGCTCTGTTGCCCAAGGGGCAGCCAAGAGAACTGCAGGGGCTAGGAGGAGGAAGAAATAGAGCTCCTTAAAGCTGAACCTCCTGCCTTTTCTGCAGGCAGTACTACAGATTTCAGGAAATTCCCACCAAAATCATGTGGTTCATGGCTCTGGCTACGAATCCAGTCCCAAGCCCTTGGCATACAAAGATCCCCCTTTTGCCTGCTAGCATTGCCAGGTTGCTTGGAGCACAGCATGCCCCAAGCATGAGGAGTGATGACTTCCCCCTTCAACCTGTCATCTACAGGAAACCAGAGCACCTGTCTGAGTCTGAAAACACCTATGTGAAGGCACACACATTCAACCTGAGGGCAGTTTTCTCCCTCTCTTTCCCCATATGCTTCCATGGTTTCCATTACCATATTAACTGTGCACCCGCAAACTTAAGCTCTTGACTCAAGTCGGATGTTCACCCTAACCTTAAACTGAAGCTCCAAGGGCCAGCTTTGGTGTATGCCATGGATCCAAAGTGAGATAAGACGAAGGTCCAAGCCCCTAAGGGAGCACAATTGACATCGGACAGCACTCTTTGGTAATGTTTGGGGTGCAGAGAGGGATCTGTTTGGCTCCAGGGTTTTTTGTTTTTCCCGATTATGGTTCTGAGAGAGACTCCTGCTGTTTATTGTGTACCTCCTATATAGAAAAGGGGAAATGGGGCAGTAAGCCATCCTCATCTAGAGCTCTCCCAGGGGTCTGTTCCAATTTATACTAGGTTAGGACCTCACCTAGGCTACAAGATTTCACCTTTTTCCTGCACTTGTTGGCTGCACTCAAGATTTCATCTTTACAGATTCTTAGGCTGTATTTTCTTATGGAGCCATCATTTAGCACAGCAAACCCCTTCTGAAGAAAAATTGTGGCATCTCTAATTGAAGTTTCTGATAATTACAGCAGGCGTAACAATTCTGGAGACCCATATCTTAAATGAAATATAATAGTGACTACCCTGAAGTATCTGTCCATATTAATCACTTCTCTGTACGTTTGCCTCCTTATAACATCCAAGAAAACCAAACATAACCCAGCATAACTTCTCAACTGGCAGACACTGTTCCTTTCAGTAGCCTAAGATGAATACACAAAGCCTATGCTAGTAGTTTTCTTCTCAAGGAGCAGAAGGAGAGGGAAGGGAAGCTTTCTTATAGCACTAACCCAGAAAATGCCTGCTTGATGCCACTGTTCAGTGTAGCCATTGGGTTCTACTTAGCCCTTATGCCAGGAGGTAAAAAGACAGCACTCCAAAGATTTTTATCCTCACATGTAACACTGCTTTAAGATCTGAAAATCTGGAACTTTAACTTTTTCTTTGGAAAAATCCAGTCAAACAAAACACAAATGAAATTTAAGTAATGCTAAGAGGGCCTGGTTTTCAGACACAAGCTCCTAGCTGCTGTTTTGCAGCATCAATATGAGCAGCCACAATATTTGTCCAAACAGGGGCTTTACATATCAAATCTTGAGATACTAACCATGAAGTTAATAGGATTTGCAAGTGTTAAGCAAGTAACTCAATCCCTTTTAGGATTTGATTTTGACAGACTGGTTCTTCAATATAGACTTAGGTGTCCACGATTGATACTTTTAAGTATTAAATATGGGTAACTCAACAGGGATTTACATGCTTAACTTATCACTTGGCTGCTCAGCTAGACAGAGCCATGACAGATTTAGGGACCTAACCTCAGCCACCCCAGTCCAAAAAATGCTTATAATAGCTACTTCCTGAATATTCAAAACTGGGTTTATTGCATACAACTTTAATTTCAATTTTTCTACTTCCTTCAAAAATAAGGAACTTTTGCCTCCACTTCCTTTTCTATAGTAGGTAGGATCTTGATGCATCCTAGGAATAAACAGACACTATTTTAGCACAAAATCTGAACTCACGTTAGAAATGCACTGTAAGGTCAGTCTTGAAGTCTGATAATGATAATTATCCAGCACTAGTCAATGTCTGACAATGACAACTTAATTTCTAAAAGTCAGAAGGTCCAGAAGTTGAGGTGTTTGTTTCCTGTAAGTTTTAAAATTTTAAATGAATAATTCTTTGTGCTCCTACTTTAACTTACTGGTGGAGGTCTTATCCTGTTACTGGTTTATACTTCTAAAACAACAATCCTACTTCTGAATTCCAGAATCTCAGGACGTGTTCCTGTTATCTGAATGCTCAGTTATGCCTAACAGAAACCACTAAACTGACTAGCAAATAGTGTACACTAAGTTTAGTCTCATTTTGTTCTTGGTCAGTCTAGACTAAGACTGAATAAAGAAGCAAGAACTCTATTCCCATAATAAATAGCCATCAAATCATCCTGGCACACAAACTCAGAAGGACTAGCTAAATAACTACTCACACCTATGGGCATTGGACAAGAGAGATCTAGCAGACAGTGAAATAGGCTTCTAGGCCTGATCTGCAAAGAACAGGGCCATCACTACTCCCTGGGGAAGTCCATATCTCAGTCCAATATAAGAGCCATCATTCAAGCTGCAGGAGCCTCAGGAACTTTGCTGAGAGGAACTTTGTCCTGCTCAGAGGATGCAGGACATTCGCGATGCCACAGAGCTCTGCAGCTGCTGCATGTGCCCAAGTACCAGGATGGGATACACAGCGGTAGAAAAGCTCTGCATTTAACTCCTTCCTTCCCCTAGAAATCCACAGCAGGCAAACATCGACTACTCAGGGTAGCTCAGCCAACCAGGTCATTGGAGGAAGACAGTTTGTTTTCTCCCTTCATCTTACCAAAATTCAGATCTTCTATAAATTAATAAAATGAAGTGCTGGGGTACTGCTCTTGTATCATGTCACCTTCTATAAATGCTATTAGAAATGCCTTTTCTTCTGGATCAATCCCTTTTCTTCCTCCTTCTTCAAGATGAGGACGTCTAATGCTCCTCTCTACTGGCAATCTGTGTGGACTGTGCACGGTAAAGCTCAATGTGCTTAACCCTTAGTATCTTGCATTATGAGCAGTACCAGGATTACTATCAGAAGGGATTAATAAAGGATCCTTAAGTAAGATTTTGGCTGTTGGGAGAGATAAGAATACATTACATTCTCTCTTCTTCAAAGGAAGTAGTAGAAACAATGCAGCTACTCCTTTAAGGTCACATTCACAACTGGTGCCAAATAAAATCTTTCACTAACCTCAGCACACAGCAACTCCTGCCGTTGTTAAGGCTAAATTTACAGTTATCACAGGGAAGATCTGAGGGAAGATTTAAAACAATGTCCATTGCCCAGCAGCAGCTTACAAACCACATTTTGGACTTAAGAAAAAAAAGCAAACAAAAAAACTGCCTATCTGAGAAAACTGGATACAGAAGGTTCTGCTTGCAACTGAGCAAGAGGAACTGTGTAAAAGGGCTCTCATACTGACTTTCCAAGGGTGATAACAGTAGGTAGATGATCAAAGGTCAGCTCCCAAGCACATGATAGGAATGGAAAATAGCCAAGTGAAGAAGCTGTCATTAAAAGGAGTGATGGAAATATTTAAAAGGAAAAAATGCTAAAGAACAGAGTGCCATGCAGTAGCACTGAATCCACTATCTAGTATTTTTTGCCAACAGAACACAAATCAACAAGCCAGCAATGCATATAAGCTTCACACCTGCACACTAGCCTCTCTGTAAGGTCTCATGACACAGGGACTCAAATTTTATACCATCACAATTGAAACCGTAACCTCTCTTTGTAAGCCTCACTCATATACATTTTCTGATGTTGTAAGGGTATGTGGCAGTGGCTCAAAAACCATGAGATTTTATATTACAAAATTTAATTACTACAGTCATAGTCCCATTCACTTCTCAGTAAGGTGCAAATGTGGTCAGACAACTTGGCAGTCAATGTCATATTACTTTCACTGTATGAGACACTACCTGCTAACATACACTAATTATCTCCTTCCTAGCCTGTTACTCGTACCAAAGTTTAAGAAGCTAGCACAGTACAACTAGCAATTACAGAAATGCACAAGAAAGATGCACAAGAAATGCAAGAGAGAACTTTTTGCTTAAGTTTCATATAAAATGCGGAATAGAATCCCAGGGAAGGAGTAAGTGATCTAGCAGCAGCACATCTCAATCAGCATGGTTCTCTGCACTGTGAACACAACTGTACAAAATACAGGGACATTAAAGATTTCAGATTACGCAAAAGGAGGAAGCTTCCTGCAGTCTCTAGATATGGTATATAGGTGAAGTGACAGCCTCTATCACTACAGACCACTGTTAGGTGATCTACACTATATAAAAGCAACTTCAAAATCACCGTACCAACTGCTGTTGAGCCATCTTAGGAAGGATTATACCCTTGACTCTTGCTGTTAGCAACATTTATCCATGTGTGAACTTCAACATTTTCACTCCCTTCTCTTTCCCAGACATAAATGAGAGTAAGAGAATAGCACACACAGAATCTGGTCCTGCATGTTCTGTATATGCCTAAGCACAAAAGGCTTCATGATGTCTACTAGAGTAGGCTTTACAGATCTTTGATTTGTCAGCTTGAGGAACAGTAATCCTTACATCAGCTGTTTTACGTTTCACAGTTTCGTAAGGGTATTTCTCATTAAGAGAGGAAAAACCTACCTCCCCCTCCCCCCAAAAAAAAAACCCACACCCAGTTTACTAACAATGATATTCCTTTTCCTTTACAGTTTAATGACATTGGTGTTTTTGAAACAGTCTGGCAAGTTAAATTCTACAACTACCATAAACGGGATCATTGCCAGTGGGGAAACAGTTTTGGCAGCATTGAGTACGAATGCAAACCGAACGAAACGCGCAGTCTTATGTGGATCAATAAAGAGACCTTCCACTGAAGAGAAGTGAAAACAATAGCGCTGGACAATCTCCTTAAAGAAAAATCTACCTTCTTCAACCAGCAAGAAGCCTTAACAAAGGCATACTGTAATGTTGCTTTGTCTCATAAGGTTCTGGTTAACTCAGTTATATATACAGTTGGTGCCACTAAAAACCTTGCCTATTTATGGTATTTTAAGTTTACCATGGCATTGCAGATTCTTTATCTATCATCCTGAGACTACTTCAGGCATCATGGTAAAGAATATTTGATACCTAAGTTTAAAAAAAAAAAAACAAAAACAAAGACAAGAGTCATACTGTCATAATACTACGCCCACTAAACAGTTCCACTAGATGCAACAACCTTTGTGAAGTGTTTTGCTTTATTGCTTAGAACTTGGATGCAACATCACATTGGTGATTTTCGTATTTATATTTGTGTTTGCTCCAAAATCAGTGTACTCCTTCAACCATTTTGTCTACACGTCATAACAATAGACAACAAAAAGTACAAGTTATGGATGTTCGTAGGTTTAGTAAACGGCAGCTACTGCACTGTTGATATTGTGCTTTCATATCAAGGGATTTGGAACCTCACTGATTCTCCTTTTTGTTGAGTGTCATAAAATATTCTGTGATGAATTTCCTATTTTGTGAGATTTGGTAAATTATCATTCTTTGTTAAGTTGCCCAGTCCCTGAAATGGTTTCAGGAAATAGCGTAAAAGATGCTAACCTAAACAGAGCAAAGGCAATAAATCAGTCATGGTCTTAACAAAAAGGAACATCTAAAGACATGAAATATTTACCTTAAGATCATATAGTGTTTTTTGCAAGATATAGCAGTCATAGTTATCAGAATAAGAGTTCCCATAGTAATCTCCATTTGTTTTAATGACATATTGCTCAAACCAGTAAAATCCTACAAATTAAGTTTTTCAAGCAGGACCATTGTATCACACCAAAATATACAGGATTTCCTATTTAAAAAAAAAAAAACAAAACTCAGCATTGTGAAGAAAGTGCATATCTTGGTGCATGCTTATACATGGATTGTATACCTTTAAATAAAGATAAGCATGTAAGCATTTGAAGGGTTATGAGTTAAGGTGCTACATAAACACTGACCCAGTGTTTAACACATACAGAAAATAAAAGCCAAACATATCTTTTCTTTCAGTAAACAAAGCAGGGAAACAACTACACCATCCCATCTCCAACTTCATCTGAAGTAAGCTGTCAGTTCTTGCATATTGGTTGTATTGGTTGTTCCCTTTGTGAATAATTTGTAAATTGTGTACGTAAATGATAACCACAACTTTTGATCTTTGTAATAAAGGACTTAAATTTAAGTTTCTTCTCGTATGAAAAGTATGACCATGTAAATGAAAGTAGAAAAAGCTGTATCAAAAAAAAATATAGTTGTTTTAAAAGGTCAAACAGTAGAGGGTATCCTGTTAGTGCTTTCTGAGAATGCTACCCAGTTTCATGTACCTCATGTTCCGTACCCAAAGCTCCTGTTTCTAGGAAACACAGATCCAATGTGCTAAATGCAGACAGTTAACGTGATAATCCTCAGTGGAGATTTCTGATAAAACTCAACAGCATTTTGTTGCACTAATATATTTTGGAAAGTCAAGATTTAGGATAGAAGTGAAACACAAACATAAAGAAATACTTCCTTTCATTGGATTTTTAAGTAAAAACCTTTAATTCTTCAAAAGGAGAAAACTGAACTGAGTGTCAAATTCAGCACTCTCTACTTGATTTTTCAGAGTGCATCAACATCTCTCAGAGTTGAGCACTGACTTGTTTTCATCTCAAAACAAAATCGATACTTCAGATGGAAACGTTGTTATCAGCACTTAAGCAGAAATCTCCAGATAATGGACCTCAACACCAAGTTTCCAGCTGTCAGCCTCATCTCTGCATTGCTAGAGCATGATTTATTTCCTCAACAATTGGTATACTGCAGTTGTTTTGTTTGTACATATAAACTGGAAGCACAACATCAGCATGAATATATTTGATACATAAATTTCTGTCCTAGTAAAAGTAAAATGTGTTAGATGGGCCTCCACCTTGAGTTCAGCTTCCATGAAATCCTTGGGCCACAACCTCCTAGTGCTGCAGCACTTAAGGAATGTCACAACGAATAAATCCAGTCTAGCCTGATACAGCAAGGCTGTTATTCTCAGCTACTTGGAAGCTCATCTTTACCAAGGTCAGTCCCATATGGACTCTTGTTTATATCAGTGGCAAATAAGACAGATCTTTGTTGATGTCCTAGCAAGCCCGTGTGGCAGTTCAGCTGAAGTTCAATTCAGAGGGTGGTCAGGAAAGAGCATGCAGATGAGAGTGAGCTGCTTTTTTAAAAAGAAAACAAGAATGGCCACACCCACAATGCCCTATATCCATAGACCCAACATTGCTGTCCAGGATTGCAGCACTCATTTACAGACTGTAGCAGTGATGAAAGGAAAGAGGACTGGTTAAAAATTTATTTTTGGGAAGGTGTGGGTGGTATTCACTAGCTGTTATTTCCTTATCCCATTTCAGCATGAAATGATGTTTCAGCATGGAGGAACATGGCTCGATAGCCCTGTATTATCCCAGCCTAATAGAAGATAAATCACATGGTATTTGTTGCCTATTCATACCACCATGGATGGCAGCACTAGTACTCTGTGCACATAAAGTAACATAGTTCCATCACCTTCCTCTTGCTCAGAGGCAAACATTTGCTCCTAGTGAAAGAGACCCAAGAATTTAGCAGCTCCCTCAAGGTACTGTAATGGATTTCTCATCCAGGATAACATTTTAAATACTCATAAAGCTCAATAAAATAATTGCTCCAAATAATTTTGGAGCAATTTAATCTCCAAACAAGTTTGCTTCTTTATGCACCTCTTTCTAATTAGTGTCACCATTTTTGGATAAAATCACAAAATTCAGAACATCACACATTCAGTAAGCTTAAATATGTGTTTATATTTATGCAGCAGTGTCAAAAACTCTGACAATGTGCCAATCCAGCTGAAACCACAAAGCACTGATACCTAAGTTTTCATACAAGAGAGTCTTTAAAATTTTTCTCATGACATTTCCAGCTTTCATTTTCATAAGACAGATTGAAACATACAGAAGCTTTCAGAGAGTCATTTTTTCATCTATATTTAGGTAACAGTTAGCACTTTCAGATTGCTGAAGAAAAAGGACCTAAACTATTAGTCAGGATGATTGTGGTTGCAATCCTGCAAAGGGCTTGCGTGAGATCACAAGAACGTGTGCAATGCCCTGGGTTTAGCAACAGTTCCTAGTACTGTCTTTGGATATCTCCTACCATCTGACTATATCTAAAAAAAAAAAAAAAGTAATACTGTCCATTTATTTGCACAAGCAGATGGAAATCATCTTAAGAAGGCATAGTGAAGTGTTACGAAACATCATAACAAGGTGCATTTAAGAGGACTGAATGTAAAGGAAGCCTTTATGATTTTAGACTAGTTAAGAATATCAAATCCACTCATTTATTCTACTCTTCCCATAAAAGATGTGAATGAAACTTCCGTACAACGAAACTCTAAGTTCTGTATCAATGCAAGGCTCTTATACGCCGACAGAGGTTGGTTTCCATGCATCTGGCTGACTTGCTGTGTACAACTTTGAAGTGTATGCTATTCTGAACAGGATTTTTTTTCTCCCCTAGAGCCTCCATGTAAAGGTTTGAATAAATAAAAATATAACATTGTGATAAATGTTCATCTTCCTAGGACTTGAAACAAGTGCTGTGGCTTTCAGAATTCAAAGTATGGCCTTGATAGCTACATCAACCCTGAATCACAAAGTAGTAGTATGATGAGTCATACAAATTTCACATTTTACCTTACCTCTACAAGCCTCACAAGCGATGAGTGGAAAGTCCTCTCAGCGCATCTAGTCCTGATATTTGGCTTGGAGAGGCAGATGCTCCTGTCCATAGGCCTTCCCTGCTGCAGACTTGGCAGCTCTTGCCAGCCTTCAGTGGACTGCTTCCTCTTCCCCTCTTCCTGGGGCCAGCATTTAAGGCTTCAGATCCCAGTGAGCCCTGGCTTTTGGCCTTAGAAAGGCAAAGCTGCATCATACTGAATTATTGTGAATTTAATGTGAACCCTGGAGGCCTTTGTCTGCAGAGAAATGGGAGTAGCATGCAATAATATCACAATATATACTGCTTTCTGTCTATGATGGCACTTTTCCACCCAGTCTGAGTTGCTATGCCAACAGATTAAACCAAGGTACTTCCAGATTTCAGACTCTTATTGTAGAATTGCCCAGGGTATGCACTCTCTCTTTCTCTCTCTAAAATACATATTCTTAGGTTGGTTTTGCTGGTTTTATTGTTTTGGCTTTTTTTAATTATGATTTTTGCTTTCGGGTTTGGAGGCACCTCTCTATCTGAATACTACACTACCGGCAAGCAGAGCAAATGCAAGAAATCTCACTGTTTGAAAACACAGGTGCAGTCATCCTGGTTCTATGTGGAAACTACATGACTGCACTCCAAAGATTTAACAATATTAAAACAAAGAAATGGCTCCATGGAAAAGCCTGATTTCTGTTGTAGATTTGTTAGCAGAATACAGATCAGTTACTTTACAAACAGGACCCAAACATTGTTCCGGAGGCTTGTGATTTTTTGTGTGTGAGAACAAGGCAATAATCATATATAAGTATGTTGATCTGTTGATCTTTTTAGTTTCAAAGGCACAACGCTTACCCTGAGCTTTGCTACCTTTGAGTTGAATGGTTAAGAAACCAAGAAAAGGTGCCAAATCTACTTTTGGTACAAAGTTCCACTGAAATGTGTGGAGTTAATATGAGGGATGAATTTGCCCTGATATGTTAAGAAGTCGATTAACACTGTCCTCAGTTAAGGACACAAGTGAAATATGTGCCCTTACAAATGAACACAAATGAAATATGACACACTGAGGAAAGACCTCCAGGAGGGTTATTTGTTTTAAATATCATGAAAATATTTCCACTACAGACCATTTGCCCTCTCTCAGAAAATCTTAAATATACTTTTCTCTAGACATCAAGAACTAACATTTCATGCTTGCAAACTGGTACAGAACCAGTTACATAATGAACTAGTAGAGCTGATTAAAACTTCTTGCATTTTTAAAAAATGAAAACAGCTAATCAATTTTCACTTGCTGAAAAATCAGAATCAATAGCTATTCCTGTAAGTTAAAATGTAACATTCAAAGCATCTATTTCCACATAAACTTGTCATAAACATGAGATGGGGTGGGGGGAATCAACTTTGAGGAAATTCAGCTAGCCCTCCCACTTCAGACCTGCAATGCCGGGAACAGCAGCACTCAAGCACAAATAAGCAAGCTAGGAATGAATGCTGGCACATACTTACCTCCAGGACTGCAACATGATCCAAATAGCAACGGAAAGGGAGATGCCTCCCCAACAGTCCTCCTATAATCATTATTCTTGGAGAACCATGCCTAGGACAGATAGGTACAAGTTCTTTCCATGGCCTCCATTCTACAAATCCATGAGTGATCACGCTTTATCTTAGATACCAGCTGCTATGTGAATATCTAAAGGGAAAACGGTGGAGAGGCATGAATGTGAAGCCATGCTGCCACAGAAATACAGACAGACAGGAGAGCCTGAGGTTTTGTGCAAAGACACTGAGCTTTTCCTTCTAGTGGATTGACAGGCAGTGGGGGAAACAGCCACTTCGAGGTTTTATGCAAAAATATAATGATATGAGAGAAACAAAAAGAAAATTATTTTGGTAGTCTCCATCTTAGTCACCTCTGCTGTTCCAGATTCACCAAAACCTTCCAGATTCTCCTAGAAAGACTGCAGCTACCCTCAAAAAAAAAAACTCTTAGAGAACTTCCTCACTTTTCTTATTGAGAAGTAGCTTTGCTAAGTAGGCTTGCTAAGCTCACTGTCAGCATCCTACCATGGATTTCATACCAACCTCAAACTTTTCAGATCTCACTAGACCATTCTCTAGGCAGTCAATAGTCACTAGTGAATACTGGCACAGTTTACTTGTGATCCCTTGTTTAGTGATCTTTGCATGTCTCATCTCGTCTTCCATCTATAACCAAGAAAGAAAAGGCCTGCTCTTTTCTCATCATTTGCCATCCAATCTATTACTTCCAGTTATCTTCAAGGCTCTGCAAAAAGTATCTGTTTATGAAACCTGTGATGCCTTCAGTCATTTAGTAACTTTTAATGTAATAAAAGTTATTACAGTAATGCAGAGTTGCGGGGGGGGGGGGCACTATCCTCTGTATTATGAGATGGGGAATGGAGCCCTTATACAACCTGT